ATTGTAATTATTTCCTAGCATCCATCCACAAATTTTGCCAGCTCTTGTCGTTTTGGCCACACTGCAAATCCAACAACTCAACTGATAAAACATCTCTTTCGCCGGCCGGAATCTTACGCCCACGCGCCTAATATTGCAAGTGGAGTTGCTCCCCACGGGCCACGGCCCCACCTCATTTCTTCTTCATCTGTAACACTGTCTGCATTTAAAACCAGAGAGAGAGGCATTGGTTAGAGAAACAGCACTCATTAGCTGCCACAGTCCCACCTTTGATCCTGACCAATTGAATCCCGTTTCATTATCCAACAGCAAAGAAACGACATTAAACCCATGTCTCCAGCATTTTTTCTTTGTGTCCTCCTGCTCTGTTTCACCTTACAGCCATGTCATCGTATCTTTACCTCAGCTGCCGGTGGCCAGTGGCAACTTCTGCAGAAAAGTATTGGGATATCCGCAATGCACATGCAACTTCTCAACAACGACCGCGTGATTATTTTCGATAGGACTGATTTTGGCAAGTCCCAATTGCTTTTACCGAACGGTAAATGTCGGAATGATCCCAATGATACCGCTTTGAAAGTCGACTGTACAGCTCATTCCGCAGAGTACAATGTTCTGACCAATACCTTCAGAGCTTTAACTGTTCAGACCGACGTTTGGTGTTCTGCTGGTGCTTTGATGGCCGATGGTGGCCTGATTCAAACAGGCGGTTTCAATGACGGTGAACGAAGAGTCAGGATTTTCACCCCCTGCAATGGTAACTGTGACTGGGTGGAAATTGAATACGGATTGGCAGCGAGACGTTGGTATCCCACCAATCATATTCTGCCAGATGGAAGACAAATCATCATCGGTGGTCGTAAGCAGTTTAATTATGAGTTTTATCCTAAGAATACAGCTCCGGGTCTGTTCAATTTGCCTTTCCTGGAGGAGACGAATGACTATGGGGCAGAGAACAATCTGTACCCTTTTGTTCATCTCAATGTGGATGGAAATTTATTCATTTTTGCGAACAACCGAGCAATTTTGTTTGATTATGTCAACAACAAAGTAGTCAAGACTTACCCGATGATTCCCGGTGGTGATCCCCGGAACTATCCCAGCACTGGGTCGTCGGTGTTGCTTCCCTTGAAGAATTTACAAGCTCCAGCTATCCAAGCTGAAGTATTGGTATGCGGAGGAGCACCGAAAGGATCTTTTTTCAAAGCTAAAAAAGGCAACTTTGTGACCGCCTTGAGTACTTGCGGTCGGATCAGGATAACCGACCCGAATCCTCAGTGGGTTATGGAGACGATGCCGCAAGCCAGAGTCATGGGCGACATGACATTGCTCCCGGACGGTACTGTCTTGATCATCAATGGTGCAGGGGCGGGTACTGCCGGATGGGAACATGGTCGGAATCCGGTATTGAGTCCAGTCATTTACAGACCCGATAACCCAATTGGATCACGGTTTGAGGTGCAGAACCCGACTACCATCCCACGGATGTACCACTCCACGGCGGTGCTACTCCGTGACGGTCGGGTTCTTGTCGGTGGAAGCAATCCTCATATTTATTACGTCTTCACGAGAGTCCTTTTCCCAACTGAATTAAGTTTGGAAGCATTTTCTCCGGACTATCTCGACCCTAAATTCAACAATATCCGTCCCACGATTGTTGCACCGGTAAATCAAGGAATTTTGCGTTACGGTCAAAAGCAAACAGTACGTTTCAGTTGCACAGGACCATTGGTCCAGAACTCGGTGGTGGTGACACTGGTGGCGCCGTCGTTCACGACACATTCTTTCTCCATGAACCAGAGGCTGCTGGTGTTGGGAAACAACAAGATAACTGTTCTGAGGAGGAAAACCTACGACGTGGAGGTGACAATACCGACTTCCGCTGCCCTCGCGCCCTCCGGATATTATCTCATGTTCGTGATTCATCAAAGTATTCCAAGTAATGGCATTTGGATTCACTTACAAAGTTAATCATTTTTTAAAAAACAAAAATAATTGAAATGATAAGTGTTCCTTTCTTAAAATTAATTATACTTGTTGGTATTATTAAAGAAAGGCCTCAAATGATGTTCTTCTTCTTCATCTTCTTCTTCCTATTTTTTTTTAGTCAAATCGTGATGTTCTCAAATTGTGCAAATATTATGAATTTTACAAAGTTTTTAATCAATAAAATTGTAGGATTGACCTTAGGATATATATATATATATATATATTTTTGAGCTTGTTGTTGCGATGGAGAATAGTAATGAACTATTAATCATCGAGTCTAGTGTGGATGACTTGTATTTAATCTAAGTTAGGGACCATATACTATCAAAATTGGTAATTGAAGAACTTATATGCTTAATGATACGGTGGGCGCATTTGGGACCATGCTTTTGGATAAGGAGTAAACTTAGCCTGCCAATTCAGATGTTTAGTTTTGGGAAGATTCTTTACTGCTTACATGCAGCTTCTTTTATGGCTTCTTCTGAACCAAATTCTTGTTTTCCTTTCCAAGTAAGCAAGCAGTTTTTGCTTGTATCATTTATATTTTTTCTAGTTCTCAGTTCCAAAATGAGAACATTGATCAGACGGGGAATTGAGAAATGGCAAAACTTCTCTTAAAATGATATTTCTCGCTTCTGTGTATTTGGTTTTTGTCATTGCATGAACAACATGGTTAGTAGCTCCATCATGATCGAGTAACCTCTCCATTGAAAGACAAATGAAACAGAACGAAGAATAACAACTATGTCCATGTGTGCCATTTTTACTTTTCAAATTTTTTATTTGGCAATTACGAAAAAACAAAATCTTTTGGTGTAATCTGTTTTTGTACTTTGACATATATAAGTGGTTAATGATAAAAATATATATATATATTCCAAGTTCCTAAAGTTTATTTAAGCACGTCAAGTCACTTTAAGTCCAAAGTTTTAACATCGAATTGTCAAAATAATACAACGAGAGATTTGTAGAAGAAAATTACTACACTATTGCGTGCTATACTACTAAAAAAACGTTGAAATTGACAGAATACAAGGTTTTGCAAGAGGAACGATTTGCTTCACGGGTGCGTAAGTTCAAAGTTCACGAGAAGGGCTCTTTTCTACTGATTTGAGTATTTCACGAAACCAACTATGTGAAGAGTCCGACTTATCTCTCCTCTTTTTTTATTTTCTCATTATATTATTATTACCACAAACAAAAGGTTCACCATCATCGAACCATAAATCGTGATCGAATCAACTACGACACGCCATGGGCCATATGATGTACTGCGTTTGCTATATTCCCTTCTGGTACTCTTTGGAAACAGGGACAAAAGTCATTGGCCGCATTATTTGAAACACAGAACAAGCCAAGTTGTTATTGTTGGGTGGGTTCGTTTGGTACGTGTGGGGACTGTTTGTCAGTGGGCTATATTTATGGGCTTCAAATTTCCGGGACCAAACATGCTGATGCTGGATTACAGGGCACATCTCATCACTAATGCAAATATGGAAGAAATGAACTCAAAATGTTTGGTAATGCATCTAAGAATGATGATACTATTTAATAGTTTATAGAAACATGCAGTTGGTCTGTCCATGCCAGTTTGCAAGACAATGAACACAACAGACAAAACAATGGTCAAGTACTTGCTAAAATAAATGAAAAAATATGCTTAAATATACGGATGTAGGAGGTTGTATGTATATGATGGAAAACTATATGAAATGCAGTTTGGATATTGCAATGCAATTATGCAAATGCATGGAGACCTGGGGTTGACTTGGCCGGCTTATCAATTGGACTCATTTGCACTAGGTTCACCATTCTGTTTCTTGGTTTCAGACTGATTATTTGGAGCTGGTTGTTGAGATTGAGCTTGCTGCAGTGGTTGTTGGTGTTCTGGCTGTTGTGTCTGATAAGCATTCAGCTGCTGTGGCTGAAATCGGAACATTTGATTACTGAGGGAAAGCTGTTGCAGCATGTGGTTTGAGAGTTGAACTTCTCCACCAAGTTCGGAAGCAGCAAGCTTCAGTCGCTGGAGTTCTGCAGCTAATGCCTCATTTAAAGCTGCAACATCAAATGCACAAAGCAAACTGATTTTTCAGCCCAATATAGGATATGAATCTCTAAGTTGCTAATTTACAAACCATCAAGTTCCATCGACAGGTAAAAGAAAGAAAATTTTACAGTATTCTAGATCAATATCACCAGCATAATTAAAATACTTTTTCTTGTAGTTAATAAGCCAGTTCAGACAGACCATGGAAATGATGCATCCCCAAGAACATATAAATAAACAAAAGCATCTAATTATTCGCAAACAATATGGGCTTCCATGGCACTCTAAAGTCTAAACATCACCCTGTACAGTCCCAGTTATTGCAATTCATAATTTCAAGTAGGCTGAATTAATAAGAGCATCTGCACTTTCACTCTCCTTAAATGCCAGTCAAAATCTAATAGCTTGTGCTGCAGTTATTCAACAGTGCCTCATTGTCACAAAGTATTGTTGACTCTCCTTGGTTTGCATGTCTCAAGATTCTTTCATATATTACCAAGTCATCACATCAGTGTCTAATGTTTTTTCATCTGATGTCATTTTTCTACTGTTTAATACATCCCAATCAATTCTGGGATGCAGTAGTTAATTTCACTGTTTGAGACAATTTAACTCATCAAAGGAATCAACTTGCAAGGGTAGAGCAAGATATCAATAGCTCCTTTATGGTCTTTAAGATCAACTGGATTTGAGCCAACATATTCACAAACCTAGAGAATGGCGGAGCATAGAATCAACCATACAAATAAAGTCATATAAACCAGATGATATGATTGTCCGCAGAGCTTGCATTATAAACACATGTTCAGGTAGATTTTGTGTTGCTATATATGCTTGGTCCAGAAATGAAGGCAAGAATCAAGTAAATATGAAATACTAAAAGAAAAATTGTAGCCATTAAGGTGATGGACTACAGCAGTGTAGTTAAACATATCGAAACTTGATTGCAGTTTGCACAACAATGTTTCCTACATCTAGACATGCAAAATCCAGAAGGATGTAATTAAACATATTGGCAGATTGCAAACAAATAGCAGGAGATCATAAAATGAATTACTTGACAGTCACAGATACCTATGTCTGGTGCAGGCGTGCATGCTTGTGTTTTACATGACAATGAGCTAACTACAACAAGAAGTCAGTTATCAGTATAATAAGGAAATCATATTTATACCATCTTTCAATTGGGCTTGTTGCTCCATGGCCTGAAGTCGGAATTTTAACTCATTGTTCTCTGTTGTCAGCCCTGCTGAATCCCTCTGAACAAGGAAAACCAAATAAAAAGCTAGGTAACACATATTCAAATAAATAAATTAAGCATACCCACCTGCAACACTGTTAGCTGGGCGGATAATGTGGTTGCCTCCGTCTGCAAGGTTTGCACCTTGTGTTCTAACTCAGCAATGTGTCGCATTTTGCGCTCCTTAGAACGAGCAGCTGACTGACGATTAGCCAGAACCCTATTATAAATAAATCAAAATGATCAAATACGTCCTACAAATTCTCTACATATGCTAATACTTCAAAGAGGACAGAACCTTTTGACACGCTTAGGGTCAACCGATAACATCTCTGCAAGTTTCTCATTTTCCATGATCTTTTTCATCTCAGATGCACTGAAACCATCATTACCGAGCACAAAGTTGGACTTGGTCAAATTTGCATCCATTGAATCACCAGGAGATCCTTGAACCATTTGATTTTGCAGAGGAACCTTCAGTGAGTCATCGTCAAATTGCAGGTCTCCCATATAACTATCCATTGAAACACTTCTGTAGTGCCTTGACGTCTGAGCTATATCTCCAGGAGCACTCCTCTTGACTCCTTCTCTCCTCTCTGTGGAAATGCTTGTCCCCTGCATGTTGATTGGATATCCATTTACTCTGCTCTCTACTTCATTATCACTGCTTTCACACCCATTTGTCTTTGCGCCACTGGCTCTGCTATCCAAGTCCTTGTCCTCCGTACCAGATGAGTTCAATGTATCAATATTGTCCAAATTCATGTATGCACTGAAAAAATCATCAACCTCTCCTTCAGATTTCTTCTCACCTAACCCATCTGCATTGCTATTGCCATCCTTACTCCACTCAGATTCCTTTTTCACCAACTGAATGGGTTTCTCTACCCCCAAATTCTCCCTTCCCGAAACCGACCTATCCAGTGCTCCTCGTGTCCCAATAGGTATCAACTGAGGCGAAGAATGAATCATGGCAGAAAATCCCAATGGAATGTCACTGCTGGACCGCCTATGTCCTCTAAGGGGAGGTAAGCTCTCACCAGCTCTAAATTCATTACTGCCTCTTGCAACAGGAGAAGGAAGTGGCTTTCCTCTAGAATTCACAACCTTCTCCTCCATGGACACATCGGTAGAGGTAGGATCGGAGAGAGATGACACGGACGGCTCCCAATAAGGAGAAGGGCTCAAAGGAGGCAAGCAATCAAGGGAAAAGAACGTCGGCTGAGACAACGACCTAGAATGACCAGGCCCTTGCTTCAAATTCTGTGAATCCAATTGCTGAGAATTTGGACGAGAACCCATGATCTGTGAATATGGCATGGAACCAGAGTTATTCGGATGCGACGGAGGTATCCCAGGTCTCTTACTATTATTCTCATGACTCAAATTCCTCGAAAAAGGATTCATTGGGCCACCCATTTGAGAACCACTGAACATGGGAACATCCGAAATGCTCTGAGGCTTTGGAGCTGGGGATGATTGAAGCTTCTGCATCTTCCTACCACTACCAGTCAAACCCTCCATTTCCCTTTCATAGTTTGAACTACTTCCCACACAAATCCCTACTCTCACCCCTCCTTCACATAAACAAAGAAACCCACTTTCAGAAACAAATAAAAAAATCCCTATAGAACACAAGAATCAGAAAAAAGGCAAAAGGAAATGGGGATTTTATTATTAAGGTATATTAATATACCTGGTTATATAACCCTAGCTGTTCAGCAGAATGATTCAGAAAGTACTCTAGAAGGATCGTACACAGCAAAATGAGACAAATTTGCAAAGAGAATCAGATGGGATTGCCCGATATTCTAGCCAAATGTGGCGGTGATTACACCAAATTTAGGAGCTGTCTAAATACACGAAGCGACCGCCGTCCTCTGCGGTTCAGAGTTGCCGGAACTCAGACAAAAGGCTTTCCTAGATGAAGACAAGTCCGTAGTTTCTCTCCCCCGCAAAGAGAGAAGATATAGCATGGGTATTTAAACATAAAAATAATTCAGACTCCAGTTGAATATAAAATAAAAATTATAAATTTTAAAAAGGATTTTTAATAATATATCGATTGGTATAATTTAAATTATTATAATTTAATATAAAAATTATTTTTTATTTACATTTTAAAAAATATATATTAATCATGATTTTTAAAATAAATTAAAATTTTAATATTAAATTATCACATTTTATTTAACTAATATTTAATTTAAATTTAAAAAAAAATATCTTATTAAATATTAATATTTAAATTTAAAAATTATTTATATTTTAATATTTAATAAAATAAAATTTTAATTTTTAAATATAAATTAATATTATTTCATCGCATAGATTCCACTCATCCCAAGATTGCTTATTCCACTCATCACATAGATTGTTCACTTTGTATTTTATTTCTCATTTGCTTAGCAAAAAAGCATTCTCATTTTTCTCAATTGGCAAATTTTCTTTACAATGGTTTTGGGGTTCATCTAAAAAAAATTTAGACTTATGAATTAAAAGTTAAAAAAAATTTATAATATTGATGAAAAATCTGAAAACAAAATTTTAAAAAAGTCAACAAATAAACAATGATATTCTACTAGAAAAACAATTTGATTTTAATTCTTATTACTACACTTAAGTTGAACGCTCTAAGTTACTTGAGCGTAATCTAAACACTTCGTCCTTAATTGATAATTCAGCTTAATCCAGTCTAAACATTTCGTCCTTAATTAATAATTCAGCTTAATCCATCCATTAATCTATACGTTTTGACTCGGAATAAAAAAAATCGAAATGTTTTCAGACAATGGGCTGGCCAGCGGTCCATTCCATTCCATTGGGTTTGGGTTGGGGGTCGAAGTGTCTAATTATAAAGCCTGAAAATGGGCCAGGCCTAATCTAGTGGGCGTCATACAACATGTCCGTGATGATTTTCTGTCACCGTCGGTGATTTTATCATATCTCGTTCCCGGCAAAATCCGAAGAATGCCTATAAAACGAGGCGCAGGGGAGGCACTGAAACCCTAAGGCAGGTCCCGCCGTCTTCCTTCCATGGTCATCACTTTTCCTGATATTAGAATTAGGGTTTTGTGCTTCTTGCTTTGTTTTCTTCTACTCAATTTTGTTTTCTCCTATTTGAGATATCTCGAAGGATTTCAAATGACGAACTTTGTTGAATCGGCGAATACTCCGACTTCGGTTTCGGGTATAATGACTTCCTTCTTTCAATAGGAAGATCTGATGGCTCTTTCATCTGTTTTCAAATTTCGAACTTGTCAATGCGGATTGCAAAATTCGCATGAATCATGTTGAAACTCGGGCGGTCTGTGTCCATCGTAGGTTCATAGCATTGATCTCATGTTCCCCGATTTGAAATTCCAGTGAAAGGTTTTACTGTTTTCCGATTCCGGCGTTTTCCGATGAGTCTTTTGACGCTCAGTACAGTGCTGTGTATGATGAGAACATCTTCATTACAGTTAATCAGTTATCCCTGTCTGATCACTTCATGCTGAAAAATGTATGATCTAACATACGCTGTAGGACATAAACAGAGCATTTGCGAAGCTTTTTCTTTCAATTTCCGCTTTTGGTTCATGTTTTATTGAATTTTCAACAGTCAAAAGTTGATGCTTTTAATCTGGAAAACAGATTTTAATGCTTTACGTGATCAGTTCTAAGATGTGATTTCTTTTCTGAATTAGGGTTAGGGTTTCAACTTTCAGAATTATTTAATAGGAACATTATGTTACGCATTCAGTCAGAACATTGATAAAATTATTAAGATTTCACTAAGATTACAATGAGATGTTGAAGTACAAATCCTTTACAATTAAGTAGAGGTACACTATTATTTAGCCAAAATGTAAAGAGTACTGTTGCATACTAAAACAGGTCTAAAGACTTCGACGTAGAACACGAAGGTTCATCTTCCCGAACATCGGTTGCCGTTTTCTGATGTTAAAATGGCCAGGAACGAGACCCATTATGGTCTTTATTTGTTCTCCTAAACCGCTAATGAGAAAAGCAGAGGCTCCGCATACTTTATGCATTATGCTAACGACTCAATAATTTACAGCCTACTTAATGGTTATGTAGCGGTTTGTCCCATGCTTGGCCCAGTGATCCTTGAGATCAACGGAGAGTGACAGATCATGCCCCTCAGCTGCAAGCCGGGTAAGCAGCTTGTTGAAAGCACTTCCACTCATCTTTCTCCCACCAATTCGGGCATGTCGCTTGTTGGGAACTGCTGGTAGGGGATACATGGACAAGGAGGTTGTGCAGCACGAGGACTGCCACCCTCCATTTCCCCATTTGTAGCACTGCCTCAGGACTCCAGTGCAGGAGCAAACGGGTGGTGGCATGGTTGTGTCATCGAATACCACCTGGTTCAACCCTAGATCCTGTCCTTTCCAATCAGTCTTTGTTGTGACCATCTGTTTGTTGAGATCATCGCTCCCACCACCCATATCTTGCCCACCCTTCCACTCTTGTGTCTTACTGTATGTGTCCTCAGTCTCCCTCTTAACCTTCTTTGGAGGTTTTGAAACCTTCTTAGCCTCCTTGTTAGATGTAATAACCTTTGGTTCTTTAGTTCGTTTACCCCGCCTTGACTTAGCAACCTCAGAAGTACCTGGTGTCACTGGGAGGACATCACTTGGATGCATTTCCCTTGTAGTGTAAGGAGCTTCATTCACGTGGGGCAGATTATGAACACCCTGCTGCGGATGGTGAATGTGCCTCACTCCCCTTGAGATTTGGCATCCTGGTGGGCATGAGGACATATTACCACTAGCCAAGGAGTTCTCTCGGTACTGAAGATTTGCAATAGCATTATCCCGTTCCAGCATAGCGTTGTTTCGCTCAGCAATAGCTGCATCTCGCTGCAGGAATGCCATATCTCTCTCAGCAATGGCTGTTTTCTTTTCAGAAAGTGCTAAATTCCTTTCTTGGATAGCTGCATCTCGTTCGGCCATAAGGGCCATTATCTGCTTCATTGATGGCTGATGCATCAACCACTGCAATAATAACAGATAATGATAAGAATTGCCATGGGGCCTGGTGTTTTCCAAAGAATTGCCAACAATGTTGGCATCGTTGGCCAAAAAAAGAGTATCCTTTTATGCTAATTTATAACATCATTGTAATTATAATTCCAGAAACTTGCACATAGTTACCTGACCCTGGGCAGTTCTATACTGATCTGCTTTATGTCTTCCATTTTCTCGATGTCCACCGTCATCCATCTTGATCCAGAAATACTCGTGATTACAGAAAAATGTTGGAAAACTCTAACTCTAATTTGATCGTGATGTTGAATCAACTAAGCACCAGACCACTTTCTGGAGTGTAGATCCTGTTCTCAAGAAAGTAATATGAGAACACTTTATCAACCATGTATTATAAAATTACTGACCTTTTTCTTAAGAAAAGAATTTCACAAGCTTACCATGTGGAAGCAAACAAAATTACAGAAACCCATTCTTTAAGTGAATCTTCCCGCATGAGACACAACACAAGTAATGCACAAGTATTGACAGCATCGAGAGCAAGTGGCCCTATTCCTTATCAAAAACATTGTTCCAGAATAACCCATCAAACATCAATTCTGGTTAAGACCAATAATTGTAACATTGTAAAAAGAGGGCAAACACATAAGTACTGCTCCATGAGCAGCAACTCAGAGTATGCAGTAATTTGTTAGAAGCTTTTAAATCCATAAAACGCAGTTCTTAAGATTTGTAAAACATAAGCAGTAGAAAATACATAGTAAGTACAGCTCAATCACAACAGAAGCATGTAGAATGCACAAATATTTGTTATTAAATAAATAAAATGAAAGCTGAATGGTCAAACTATGCACTCTCTGCTTGAGCAGAGAAACAACAGATGGCTGTCAAAGTGAACGGTGAACCAAGAATAAACCAATTCAGAAAACCTCATTTTAAGATAGTAATAATAGTTCATTAATGACTAGATTCAGGCATTTGGCCCTAACCCCAATGTCAACAATTTTATGACTTAGCATGCTTTGTAAAACCATAAGATATCAACTCTGAAATCCTCATTCAGTTAAGATGAAGCCAGAATAACTTCAAACAAAGTACTAGCAGAAGATAATAATTGATGGGCGCTCATAAAACTATATCAAAAAATGCACCCTAATCGAAAGTATATCAAGAAAAAGAAAAAGACACAAAACATTAAAAGATTATACCAATTGGCCTTTATTAAGGGCCTACATCATCTAAACATCATGAAACCAAAGCCAAGCAACACCATTATTCTAATGTCGCATATAACTCACGAGAAGCAAGCATTTAAAATGTTGTAGGAGGCACAGGAAATTACATAAAATTTCATCAATAGCATCTTCAATAAATTTAGCCCCATTCACCCATGAGATGCAATATTCATTAAAGAGTACCCATCTCTAAAAAAGAAGAGATCCAACTCTTTAACCACTCAAACCACAAAATGATTTCAATCTTAAGCAAGTAACAAAATCTCCAGAGAAAACCGAGACCCGAAACCAAAATTCCAGTTTCAGCCCAGCTAAAAGAAACTCTTTCCACCACTTAAGAAGCCATAATCAAGCCTAATCAAGATGTGGTTGCACAGAAAGCGCGACACCCACCAAAATTAAACAAAGAAAACACCTTCACGAACCACAATCTCTTCAAATTAAGCAAAAAACAGGAAACATAGACCCGTCTTCGGCAGGTGCGAAGGTGAAACCCACGATCAAAGGAAAGCTAAGAAAAAGAAAGAAGATAGTTTCGGAGCAAAGACGAAGCTTACCGGCGGAGGAATCGAGAGATAAAGAGGAAATGAAAACCCTAATTTGATGGATTGAAATTTTGTGGAAGGAACAGTAGAAGCAAGTAACGTCCTTTCTTTACTTTCATCAGTCCACGCTTTTTCTCCCCATTTTCATTTTTTTCTTCTTTTCTTAAATTATTATTATTATTATTACTATTACATGTTCCGCTTCTGCTCCGTCAAATTTGGTCCTTTAAAAAGAAAGGTAAAAATAAATAAATAAACAAAATTTACCTCACCCGTAAACTTTAT